TATACCATCACTATAACCATCTTAACTAACACTCATCCATCATCACTGTAATCATCTTCACTACAGTCTTCATCACTGTAACCGTGTACAATACATGTTCAGTGAGAAGAAAGCTATTTTTCAAGAGAATGCACTAAGCTACTGCCACTGTCCATATGTATATGTACGTATATGTGTGTGTGTGTATGTATATGTATGTGTATAAAGTATATATGGAAGCTGATCAGAATTACATTTCACCTCTGTAAATGCACATTAATGACACTATGTAAAAGACACATCGACCACTTTATGTAGGGCATACGTAAATCTGTGTGTCTATGTATTTACGTATGTAGGCTAGCTTAGCATTTTAAAAGCACCGAATCACCTTCTGTGGTTGATTGTTCAATAAACCCTTGAACTATATGTTTAACACTTCTCTAACCCTGTCCATGGAGGACAGAAGAAAATGTATATATGCTGGTTAGCATTGTAAATGTCTGGCCACGTCTGTGGTTGAAAAAAAAACTGTCCATCAGGTGGTAAGGTAAGATGATTACATAGCACGCGGAAGGTACAGGATGTAAACTGGAGTAGAAGGGGTGGACACCGAGTGAAGGAACGATGCCCAACTACTTGGACAACTGGGGATCGAACGCCGACCCAGCAAGAAGCGAGGGCATCGCTCCATCTAACAGTCGAAGTGGATGGCCTGCCCAATCACTTGAACCATCTGGGACTTATCGTCGACCTAAGGATCAGCAAGAAGGTGGTAATTTGTCAAGACCGAAATAGAGATCTTTAAAGACCTCTAACCATCTCTCCCTGTTGTTCACAGATGGTAGGTGGTTAGGTTATTATCAGGAGGACGCGGCAAGTCAGTACGACTATATACCACTTGGAAGGGGTTATCGGCACAAGGAGCTGGGATATAAGGACGGAGGGAAGGAATGGTGGCCAACGACTTGGACCATCGGGGATCGAGCGCCGACTTGCAAGAAGGGAGAACGACACTGTACCGTCCAGTCCAAGTGGTTCAGAGATGGTCACATGACTGTGTGTGTGACCAACCCATCACGGCCAAGACTGAGCCACGCCTCCTCGCCCTAAGCCTGCCGGCCATCAAGCCTTCCGCGCCGCCACGCAACCGGGTGATGAAAGAAGAACGAAGTTCACAGTACCCTGAGGTGCTTCCGGGGCTTAACGTCCCCGCGGCCCGGTCGTCGACCAGGCCTCCTTTATAAGTACCAAGCTACTTATAAACAAGACTATTCCTGTCCACAGTGAACAGGCCACTGATCTTTCTGCCACTCTCGCAGCCATCATCATCCTGTTGCCAGACAAGTCATCCTTGCCTCAAGTTTCTTCAGTCCCAAGATTACCAAACCCTTTGGCCCTGAGAGCTCAAAAAGCTCTACTGCATCACTCCTGAGAAGAGCTAAGGGCGGTGATACATTCTTCAAGGAGGTCCTCATTTGTCAGTAGACACCTTTGGTGGTGGATACATTTAACCTTCACATTGTTTTTGCATCTCTGTGGAAACATTTTAAAGGTCAATGAGATATAAGTCATTTTTAACTTTAAAATACAGGCGTTATCCTTTGTAGTCTATTAACGAGCTAGTTTTCTAAAGAAACGAGTGGCCGAGGTAGATATCATAGTCGTTAAACCCTAGTCCACAGGCTTTGGGGATAGTGACGCTGTGGTTTTCATCAATGTGTAGTTTCACGCTAGTAATCTATTCGAAGCAGCTCAAGTTCTTCCTGAGGCGGCTGTAACACTTTACCGAGAAATGGGTCTACTGCGAGCAGGTGTCTAAAAGGGCGTTGAGATGTGGTTCGTTGAGGTCAGGTGTGAGACTCGCCTTTATGCCCAGACCCAGGAAAGGTTATATCCGTGCGTGAACTGGCAACGCGTCTTTCACTGTTTTTGATGGTTTGAAGTGTAGCGTGGAGCGCGTTTACAAGAATCTCTGCATGATATTGTTGTCTTGGAGTGCCGACAAGCCTAACATGATATTAGGCGGCGCTGTGTAGAAGAGCGACCATTGGTGGACGAAGACGACGAATCTGGCGTTAAACCTAAAACCATTTTCGACTTCGATCTCAACGTCAACGATATCTTAGTTCGGCTACTTCAGCAGATTCAGTCGGTCTGCCTCCTGGTAACTCATCATGGAGTGTCGTGCTCGGGAATTAACAACGATTTAACAGCTAATTCCATTAATAGTCGCGTTGAAGGTGGAGAGACTGCAGTCGGTGCGAACGGACGGATACCGACATACCTGAGGCTTCTTGCAAGGAGTCGCCGGCGGGCAGGGATACAGAGACAGCTAACCTTTAGAGATAGTTGCAGCTCTATACCCCTTACGAGTCTCCGTAACCTGTTTCTGGTTGACAGGTCTCCCATCGTCCCTCGTATTCCTTTAGACTCCGCGCCCCTTTCTTGGCTGGTTCGGTGGCTGGGACAAGTTGCGGTCGTTGTTAGTTGCTTATAAATTCCTCTAACCACCGTTGGGACCATCTCCGGCACTTCGCTAGACTCGACGCTTCTTGGCGAGGACGTTGGCCGGTGGCGGCATGTCTTCAACGGCCTCTAACTTCCTTTTCCTGTTTAACTTTTCACCGGTGACGCCCAAGGACGTTTGTGTTCCAGATCGCAGTTTCATTATTAATTATATATATACTATATATATTGAAAATATATAAGTTCACATACTTAAAATTTACAGAACAGAGCATAACTTGAGATCTAGGACGGGGCAATTATAGTGAGGTTAGAGGTTATTAAAATGATAACAATTATGATAATAATTGTTGTAATTAATAATTATGACTCTTCCCTCTGCTGGGTCATGAAGGAAGCCGGCCTCGGGTGAAAGAGGGCTGTGACGATCTCTGTCAGGAACCCGTAGGTGCGGGACCGGGCCGTCCACCTCCTGGGGCTCGTGCGGCCCTCAGGCTCTGCTTCAGGAGGTTGGGGTCGTTCTTGCCCTTGATAGGGTGGTTCTTCTCCGGCCCCGACCACAGCGGTCTCCGGGTTTGGAGTCCCTGTGCCTTCTTTTACCAACTTCGAAGTAATCTCCGGAGCTGGAGCCCCTTAGGCAGTTCGATGTTACCTTGAACCTCGTTCTGACAGTTCCTGCGACGGCGCTGGAATCAATCGTATTGGCGTTTGCCTTTCCATTGGAGACTTTCTTGGAGACTTTTCGGCGTCGTGGAGTGGGGAGGGACCTGTTGTATGGGTAACAGCTTCTTCCCCGTATCAACCTACCTTGACTTTGCGCCCTGGAGAGGCAACACCGACAAACAGTGCGCAACTCCATAGTCTCCTGAGACTGATGGATGACTACTACTACCATTACTACCACTACTACTACCACCACTACTACTACTACTACTACTACTACTACCACTACTACCACTACTACTACTACTAGACAACAAACCCACACGTCTGAGCATGAAGGAGGTGACGACGTTTCGGTCCGTCATGGACTGTTATCAATTCCTGTAAAGAGTGGAAGAAAAAGTCAATATGAAAGCGAAATGGGAGGAGATAAGAAGTATTCCATACGAGTTAATAGAAATTAAGAAAGCCGCAGAAGGTCTTATGGCAAAGAGAAAGAGGTGAAATACAAACAAAAGAGAAAGCATCATAAGAGAAAGAAAATAAGGGTTAAAGCCGTCAGATCACGTTTGTTAAGAAGGTTAACAAAGGTTAACATTTAGCCATATATACTGAGAAAGGGAAGAGTTAACACCAACAAAGATAGAATTAAGGTTCATGTTGGGAATGTTGTGTATCAGAGCCGATTCGACAAGACGGCGTCTGTGTAGAGACCGGAAAGATTCTTTTTTGAAGACCAATCTATAGGATGATTAAGTCCCCTAACATGACAGAAGAGAACATTATTCGCGTCTGAAGATTTAACACTTCTTGTGTGTACTTTTAATCTGTCATTCAGTGTACAGTCAGTTTCACCAAAGCGTTTGAAAGGACTCGAAGCACCGGACCTCAACCCCACTCGAGGACTGGAGAAATGGAGGACAAAGACTTGCAAATATCAAATCGGGAATTAACAAAGGGGACAAAGTAGCAGTGTTGCAAATTATAAATACATAAACGAGGGGACTCGGATTGAAATGGGTGAGGCAAACGAATCCGCAGGAAGAACACTTCCAGAGAATATAGTTGTAAGCGATCTTGACAAGGACATTGTCGACACAAATTCTATTCAGACAGCTCTCTACAAGCAAAGACAACAAGATCTTCTTGAGGTTATCTTGAGATGATTTCGGGGCTTTAGTGTCCCCGCGGCCCGGTCCTCGACCAGGTCTCCACCCCCAGGAAGCAGCCCGTGACAGCTGACTAACTTGCCAGGTACCTATTTTACTGCTAGGTAACAGGGGCATAGGGTGAAAGAAAACTCTGCTCATTGTTTCCCGCCGGCGCCTGGGATCGAACCCAGGACCACAGGATCACAAGTCCCGCGTGCTGTCCGCTCGGCCGACCAGGGCTCCCATGGTAAGGTAAGGTAAGGTAAGGAACGGGAAGGGAACTATCAGGGGAGGGGAGGAAAGCGCCAAGCCATTACGACTATATAGCACTTGAAAGGGATTAGGATAAGGATTTGGGATGGAACGAGGTGGGAGGGAAGGAATGGTGCCCAAGCACTTGGACGGTCGGGGATTGAACGCTGACCTGCAAGTAGGGAGAAAGGGCGAAACTGGTACGACTATATAGCACTTGGAAGGGACATGAGAACAAGGATCTAAGGGATGGAACGCTCTCCAACCACTTGGACCATCGGGTATTGAACGCCGACCTGCACAACGCGAGACCTCCGCTATACTGACGATAGCTGGAAAGGCGAGGTTTAAGAGCTGAAGCTTGGCACTACAGTTGAATCTAGCTGAATACATCTATGCGAGTACACATACACGGTGGAAGGTAGCATAAAACAGCTGACCAGCAGACATCAGGAATGGTGTCCAGCAGACCGGCAGACCTCAGGAATGGTGTCCAGCAGACCGGCAGACCTCAGGAATGGTCTCCAGCAGACCGGCAGACCTCAGGAATGGTCTCCAGCAGACCGGCAGACCTCAGGAATGGTCTCCAGCAGACCGGCAGACCTCAGGAATGGTCTCCAGCAGACCGGCAGACCTCGAGAACAGTCTCCAGCAGACCGACAGACCTCAGGAATGGTCTCCAGCAGACCGGCAGACCTCGAGAACAGTCTCCAGCAGACCGGCAGACCTCAGGAATGGTCTCCAGCAGACCGGCAGACCTCAAGAACAGTCTCCAGCAGACCGGCAGACCTCAGGAATGGTCTTCAGCAGACCAACAGACCCCAGGAATGGTCTCCAGCAGACCAACAGACCCCAGGAATGGTCTCAAGCAGGCCGGCAGACCTCAGGAATGGTCTCCAGCAGACCGGCAGACCTCAGGAATGGTCTCCAACAGACCGGCAGACCTCAGACCCCAGGAATGGTCTCAAGCAGGCCGGCAGACCTCGAGAACAGTCCCCAGCAGACCGGCAGACAGCAAGCAAGGGCGCCAGTAAGTGGGGAGTGTTTTCCCCAAACCGCTGGAAGGTTTTACAATATTTATGACAAATCCTTAAAGCGGACGAGACACTTGGTACATTGCGCTACTCGAGTGTGTAACCACGTCAAGGAACCCCACACAAGCCGCCAAGACCAGCTTACGACGCTCGTCGTAAGTACTAGAGGGGGGAGGTGAAGGAGGGAGGGAGGGATGGATGGAGTGAGAGGGGGATGGAGAGAGGGTAGGGAAGGAAGCACAGCTTCCCTACCAAGGTATGTGGGATGTTTAATAAGGTTCAAAGTGTGTGTGTGTGTGTGTGTGTGTGTGTGTGTGTGTGTGTGTGTGTGTGTGTGTGTGTGTGTGTGTGTGTGTGTGTGTGTGTGTTCGTTCTTGTGAGCCGGCTTTACGACCTCTTCACAATATGCTGAAATTTCTTCTCAAGGGAATGGAAGAGAGAAGGGATGGATGGAAAGGGGGTGTGATAGAGTTGATGACAGAAGAGGGAAATAGAATAGAGCCAAATCAAGGGAGAAACTTAAGAGGGAAGAAGGTAAGGAGATGGGTAGGGAGAAGTGAGAGAGGAATGAAGTCAAAAACTTTTGAATTGACAGATTTTTTTCTGTCTACTCCTCTCTCTCTCTCTCTCTCTCTCTCTCTCTCTCTCTCTCTCTCTCTCTCTCTCTCTCTCTCTCTCTCTCTCTCTCTCTCTCTCTCTCTCCTCTCTCTCTTTCTCTCTCTCTCTCTCTCGCTCGCTCTCTTCTCTCTTCTCTCTCTCTCTCTCCTCTCTCTCTCTCTCTCTCTCTCTCTCTCTCTCTCTCTCTCTCTCTCTCTCTCTTCTGCTTCTCCATCCTCTCTTCTTAATATTTTGTCTTCTCCTTCTACTTGCATCCTCTTTTCCATATTCATCCATTCCTCTCCCCTATCTTCTTTCCCATCATCATCTCCCTCTCGCCGGAAGTATCTGGTCTATGTTGAGGTTATCTGTGGTTAACACGAGAGAGAGAGAGAGAGAGAGAGAGAGAGAGAGAGAGAGAGAGAGAGAGAGAGAGAGCACAAGAGGAGGGTGAGGCTGGGAGTGTGTTCAACTGCTCATACTTGCAGGGGTGTCACAGCTCAGCCTCCACCTTCTTCATACACTGGCGGTGACATTCCGCTGTTATTAACTCTGCCGCTCGCGGGGTGAGGTGAGGGCTGGAGGGGTGAGAGGTGGTGGAGAGTTAGAGGTGAAGGGAACCACCTGGGTGAGGGAAGATGGTAAGAGAGAGAGAGAGAGAGAGAGAGAGAGAGAGAGAGAGAGAGAGAGAGAGAGAGAGAGAGAGAGAGAGAGAGAGAGAGAGAGAGAGAGAGAGAGATGGGGGGAAGGGGGGAGGTGAGAGAAGACAAGAGGGAAGAGAGCGAAGAAGGAAACTGGGGAAGGTGGAGGAGCAGAGAGGGTAAACACTTGATTATCTTTCCAAGTCTGGCAATTCAGACACAAATTGCTACCTTTGGCGGCCTTGGGGGGAAACTGGAGGAGTGTGTGAGCGCCTCTTAGTGGTAGAACTGGCGGCCTTCCATCCCTGCTGGAGAGTGTGGTGTGTACTCATCTAGTTGTGCTTGCGGGGGTTGAGCTCTGGCTCTTTGGCGCTCTATCATATCTACACTTGAAACTGTGTATGGAGTCAGCCTCCACCACATCACTTCCTAATGCGTTCCATTTGTCAACCACTCTGACACTAAAAAAGTTCTTTCTAATATCTCTGTGGCTCATTTGGGCACTCAATTTCCACCTGTGTCCCCTAGTGCGTGTGCCCCTTGTGTTAAATAGCCTGTCTTTATCTACCCTATCAATTCCCTTCAGAATCTTGAATGTGGTGATCATGTCCCCCCTAACTCTTCTGTCTTCCAGCGACGTGAGGCTTAATTCCCGTAGTCTCTCCTCGTAGCTCATACCTCTCAGCTCGGGTACTAGTCTGGTGGCAAACCTTTGAACCTTTTCCAGTTTAGTCTTATCCTTGACTAGATATGGACTCCATGCTGGAGCTGCATACTCCAGGATTGGCCTGACATATGTGGTATACAAAGTTTTGAATGATTCTTTACACAAGTTTCTAAATGCCATTCGTATGTTGGCCAACCTGGCATATGCCGCTAATGTTATCCTCTTAATATGTGCTGCAGGAGACAGGTCTGGCGTGATATCAACCCCCAAGTCTTTTTCTTTCTCTCATTCTTGAAGAATTTCCTCTCCCAGATGATACCTAGTATCTGGCCTCCTGCTCCATACACCTATCTTCATTACATTATATTTGCTTGGGTTAAATTCAAACAACCATTTGTTCGACAATTCCTTCAACTTGTCTAGGTCCTCTTGAAGCCTCAAGCCTGTGTGTGTGTGTGTGTGTGTGTGTGTGTGTGTGTGTGTGTGTGTGTGTGTGGTGTGTGTGTGTGTGTGTGTGTGTGTGTGTGTGTTTGTGGATTTTCTTGACAATCGTTAACGCCTTTCATAAATCATTTCGAAACAAATGTAGGAAAATGGCTTTAATTTCATGACGCCAGAAGAGCGAATTTTGGCACATTGAAAACTTTAATTGTATTTAACCAAGCAAAAATAATCCTTACATAGCGTGTGTTTATGGACGAAAATGTTAAAAAAAACTCTTTAAAAAACTCAACGGTTGCATCAATCTAGTGCACGGTGCAATGGCGCCTGCACTTGCAACATTCCAACCCGTGACAGGTCGGACTGTGACAGGTTAGGCTGTGACAGGTTACCCGTGACAGGTTGCTCCGTGACAGGTTGGTCGTAGCTACTAACAATTCCAACAACCGTTCAGAACGAAGCTCCAACGATCGCTGCCTCAATCATTCCTATAATTAAAGCAACTCATCTCAAACGATCAATAGCTGAAAGACTGAAGAAAACTGAAGAAGAAAGTCATTGGTCTCCACAAGAGGCTCCGCCCACGAGAGCATTATGACCAATCACAGCACACCTGTAGAGACCTCCACGTGGAGTGGACAGTCACGGAGCTCGACAGACAACAGCTAATGGCACTTCCGGCACCCTGCTATAGACGCACACCAACGACAGCGTCAATGTCACAGGCACCACCACCAGGAAAAGGCTCTCCTACCACCAGGAGAAGCCTGCCGGAGAGGCAACCAGGCCACCACACTGGCGTGACAAGGAGAGAAGATGCTGTTCGAGCCTACAGCATCATCAACAAGATAATCTCTCACCCGAGCCTCTTATCTCCACAAAGACATCAGCCACAGCTAAATATTCCCTCGCGTTAGTAACTCTCCGCCAGAGGCGTCGGGGATGAGCGAGAAAAACTATTTTATTAGAAAATATAATATTTCCGGAGAGAGGGAGAATGCTGGAAGCTTACAACACTTTAATATAATTTATATAATATAGGAAGATCCGGTCAGATAGAAGACGCCAGAGTGTCGCTGCTCTGACTCTTAGCTCTCACAAGGAGGAGGAGGAGCAGGAGGAGACGAGGAGAGGTAGAAGGAGAAAGAGGAGGGAAGCAAAGGAGGAGGAAAGGGTAGGAGCTGAGGTGTCATCTCTAAAGTATTTATTATATCATAGTTTCCATGGATTTGGATCGTCATTATATTCTATAGAGCATATATATTAATTATATTTCAACAATTCATTCATTTGATTCAGAGTGTTAAAATGCATGTATTCGATTATTATTTATGTATTGATTTTATATTGTCTTTAATATCTGCTTTTCTGTCTGTATATATATATATATATATATATATATATATATATATATATATATATATATATATATATATATATATATATATATATATATATATATATGTCGTACCTAATAGCCAGAACGCACTTCTCAGCCTACTATTCACGGCCCGATTTGCCTAATAAGCCAAGTTTTCATGAATTAATGTTTTTTCGTCTACCTAACCTACCTAACCTAACTTAACCTAGCTTTTTTTGGCTACCTAACCTAACCTTACCTATAAATATAGGTTAGGTTATGTTAGGTAGGGTTGGTTAGGTTCGGTCATATATCTACGTTAATTTTAACTCCAATAAAAAAAAATTGACCTCATACATAGAGAAAAGGGTTGCTTTATCATTTCATAAGAAAAAAATTATAGTAAATATATTAATTCAGGAATACTTGGCTTATTAGGCAAATCGGGCCTTGAATAGTAGGCTGAGAAGTGAGTTCTGGCTACTATGTACGACATATATATATATATATATATATATATATATATATATGTCGTACCTAGTAGCCAGAACGAACTTCTCAGCCTACTTTGCAAGGCCCGATTTGCCTAATAAGCCAAGTTTTCATGAATTAATGTTTTTTCGACTACCTAACCTACCTAACCTAACCTAACCTAACTTTTTGGGCTACCTAACCTTTAAAGATAGGTTAGGTTAGGTTAGGTAGGGTTGGTTAGGTTCGGTCATATATCTACGTTAATTTTAAATCCAATAAAAAAAAATTGACCTCATACATAATGAAATGGGTAGCTTTATCATTACATACGAAAAAAATAAAGAAAATATAGTAATTCAGGAAAACTTGGCTTTATTAGGCAAATCGGGCCTTGCATATTAGGCTGAGAAAAGCATTCTGGCTACTAGGTACGACATATATATACATATATATATATATATATATATATATATATATATATATATATATATATATATATATATATATGGAATTACGGTGAACCCCTGGAAGAATGGTAGACAGTTGGTGTGGGACTACACTTGCGTTTCAACTTTGGCCAGTACCTATGTTGACTTCAGTGCTACACAAGCAGGAGGAGCTGCCAATCACCGGGAAGCGGCCAAGTCACGTAAATACAGAGACCTTGAGCACCACTACAATTTTGTCCCCATTGCCTCAGAGACACTTGGTGCCTGGGGTAAAAGTGCTGCTAGCTTTTTAAAGGAGTTGGGGTCTAAGCTAATCGAAACAACAAGAGACCCCAGAGCTGCCAGTTTTTCTTTTTCAGCGCCTTAGTGTGGCAATCCAGAGAGGAAATGCTCACTGCATCCATGGTTCCTGCCCGCCATCTGAGGAGCTGGAGGAGCTATTCAACTTGTGACAAGCAGCATTGTACCCTGCATGTAATCAATATTGTAACTTTTTCTGTGTAATGACATTTTCAAATAAAGTTAGATAAATATACACACTTAACAAAAGAATAGGGGTGGTAGGAGAAGAAAATATCAGTGTTCAGTGAGGATCCACAAGGTCTTCTCTGAGTACTCTTTATTTTCTTCTCCGAGGCTATGGGTCCCTACATTTGCACCAGAGGTGGTACCCCTATATATATATATATATATATATATATATATATATATATATATATATATATATATATATATATATATATATATATATATATATTTAAAACAAAGCCATAAAGTGGAAAATGGTCTTTTTGTGAAGTTAGAAAGTGTCTTTGATCTGGTGAGTTGATAATTTTTAACATCTGTTTCTTGTCAAAAGTGTGCTGAAATGGCATACTTTTGGCAGCCATGGCAACACCAGCATGGCAACACCAGCCATGGCAACACCAGCCATGGCAACACTAGCCATGGCAACACCAGCCATGGCAACACCAGCCATGGCAACACCAGCCATGGCAACACTAGCCATGGCAACACCAGCCATGGCAACACCAGCCATGGCAACACTAGCCATAGCAACACTAGCCATGGCAACACTAGCCATAGCAACACTAGCCATGGCAACACCAGCCATGGCAACACTAGCCATAGCAACACTAGCCATGGCAACACTAGCCATGGCAACACCAGCCATGGCAACACTAGCCATAGCAGCACTAGCCATGGCAACACCAGCCATGGCAACACCAGCCATGGCAACACTAGCCATGGCAACACTAGCCATAGCAACACTAGCCATGGCAACACTAGCCATGGCAACACCAGCCATGGCAACACTAGCCATGGCAACACTAGCCATAGCAGCACTAGCCATGGCAACACCAGCCATGGCAACACCAGCCATGGCAACACTAGCCATGGCAACACCAGCCATGGCAACACCAACCATGGCAACACTAGCCATGGCAACACTAGCCATGGCAACACTAGCCATATTCCATTTTAAATTATAGTTGGCCTCATGTTTATGCGACACCGCCATCCCGTGCGTCGCATCTTATGAAAATTCTAGAAAAATAAAGTTATTGGTTGATATATTTAAACGTTAAACATTTTACGAACATTTTGCCGAAACCGGAACAAGCTTCAAGCAACGAGCTACAGACAAGAAGCTACAACAAGGTTCAAAGCATCTTACTGGGTAGCAAAGCTTGAATCCCATGGAATCAATACTTTAAAACTCTTGACCCAAGACTTCCGGACAAGCAATTCGAAGACCTCTTGGATATATATATATATATATATATATATATATATATATATATATATATATATATATATATATATATGTCGTACCTAGTAGCCAGAACGCACTTCTCAGCCTACTATGCAAGGCCATATTTGCCTAATAAGCCAAGTTTTCCTGAATTAATATATTTTCTCTTTTTTTTCTAATGAAATGATAAAGCTACCCATTTCATTACATATGAGGTAAAAAAAAATTATTGGAGTTAAAATTAACGTAGATATAAGACCGAACCTAACCTAACCTAACCTATCTTTAAACGTTAGGTTAGGTTAGGTAGCCGAAAGAGTTAGGTTAGGATAGGTAGGTTAGGTGGTTGAAAAATCATTAATTCATGAAAACTTGGCTTATTAGGCAAATCGGGCCTTGCATAGTAGGCTGAGAAGTGAGTTCTGGCTACTAGGTACGATATATATATATATATATATATATATATATATATATATATATATATATATATATTTATATATATATATATATATATATTGTTGGGGTTTTCACCTCTCTATTATTCTCTACCCTTACTCTGGGGTGAGCAATAGTTATGCTCAAGGTAACTCACCGTAGCCCTGCGGGTCTTCCCTCGATCCTCACGGCGCCACTGCACGCCAGGAGAGTCTCCCAGTCAATCTTAACGGCCTCTTATTAAGAAAGAGTGAGAACACGACTCGTTCACCTCGACTGTCGTGTGCCCTCCCCAACAATAGGGCTCTACGGTTAAACACAAGATCGCCAACTGGTGTTTAAGGTGGCCAGTAACACCCTCAGTGGACTGGTGTACTCAGTGGTAGCCTTGGCAAGGTCACACTCAAAGATCAGGAATCAGGCAGGTACTTATTGTTATCACTCTATGTTTACCAGTATAATATAGCCACAAGATCAATGGAGGGAATGATAAAAACACTAAGATAGTTTTGTATTTTACTTAAAATGTATGAAAGATGTCACAAGGCCACACAATAATCATAAATCAACTGATCCTGACTCGGCCGGTAATTCCCACGGATATTATGCGATCACTAGAGGGCAACACTCTCCCCCTCCTCATCAAGTGTCAAGAACAGCTGATCGCAATGGCCTCTCCGCGCGAACTTTGCTTGTTTTCTAGATTCACGCGCGCTGTTCCTTTAAATTTTCCAATATTACTAGAAACTCGCACACTCGATATTGGCACAAATAAACCGTATTACTCAGTTACGCTGTACTCAGGCTCAAACAGTCTTTTCTACAATCAATGCTATAATGATTCACTGTAATGGCTTTACATTGTTCTTCACTCAACCATATATTATGAAATATTAACCCTGGAGTTTTCAGTACTTTCTCTCGTGGGCGATAACGCAATAATTCACTGTACTCACAAATGATTATTCACTGAATGAACAGACATATATATGGTATATAAATCAATCATCAATACATGGAAAATAAATAGTTTCTGGGCACATAGCCTAACCTCCAAATACTGGCATAATCTTATATATATTTTACCACTATATGTTCATATCAAAATCTATAGAAAAATATAC